CTTAGGTTGGCCATATGCAAGGCAAGTGCCCTGCCTGCTGTCCTGTCTCTCTGCCCCTACAGTTTTCTGTGTTCTTGTTGTAAAAACACAAACATACTTCACACAAGATAATCATGATCACTAAATTTTTTAATACATACTTTGAAGATTAAAACAAGAATGGTAGTGATCTCAATAATTACTTGGTTACTACATTTCAAAGATTTGTTTTGGGTCATAACCCAGCAGTACTCAGGGTTTACTCCTGGCTCCATGAGAGAATAGATTTAGAATTTTCTCATCATTGAGTGAAGTCATCTCCAGAGGCAGAGACCTAAAAGCAGGAGCCAGCCAGTGCCCACAGAACCACCTAGCAGCCCTTTAAGTTATTTTCAGTTTAGTACGTGGTGATTGTGGTATTCATGCTTTTCCTACAGGGCTGATTCTTATCCTTGACTAGGGAAAAATGGCTGCCTCAACAGTGTTTCTAAGAGCTGAGAGCATCTTGGCTCAACCTTGTGTGTGCTGTGGACCCCACCCTGCTTGGATTCCTGTTAGGTGAAGGTGGAGCATGGCATGGGGCAAGGATGCATGGTTGGGGGGGGGGGGGGGCTGAAGACCCAGAAGCCAGGAAATGTCACAGCGCCCGAGGAGTGTGTGACAGGCGAGTAGAACTGCCTTGAGGAAAGTAGACTGATTGTCTTGGTCCTGAGACAGAAGCAGGCTACAGTTTTGACTGTTGGAGAATCAGTGTTGGGACATTTCTTAATAGAATATCCCTCAGGCTTACCCTGGGTCCCATTGATGGGTCATCTGGGTGACACCTTTCACCTAATGGTCTGACAAGCGTGGCAAACGCTTGTCATATACTTAGAGTTGTTTTACCTCCTACCCCCATCACTTACCTCTTAATCTCTTATTGTCTTCCTTCCTTCCTTCCTTCCTTCCTTCCTTCCTTCCTTCCTTCCTTCCTCCCTCCCTCCCTCCCTCCCTCCCTCCCTCCTTCCTTCCTTCCTTCCTTCCTAAAAGGGAAATTGGCCGTACAAAGCATACTTGGGTTTTAGGTAATCTATTGTAGAGCACCACACAGGTTTTACACAATACTAAATCCCAGCTGGAGCGATAGCACAACGGTAGGGTGTTTGCCTTGCACGCAGCCAACATGGCCGACCCGAGTTCGATTCCTCCGCCCCTCTCGGAGAGTATCTCGCCCGCACGGCAGAGCCTGGCAAGCTCCTCGTGATGTATTCGATATGCCAAACACAGTAACAACAAAGTCTCCAATGGAGACGTTACTGGGCCCGCTCGAGCAAATCGATGATCAACGGGAGGGCCTTTTTACTCGAGCAAAATCCCAGCTGGGTTGAATTGGCAGTCTTCATGGCCAAAAATGCAGTGTCAAATGGATTGAACCAATCACGTGGAAGCAGTATATGATTTGTAAGTTCCGCGTGGTACTTATAAGTTAGAAGACTTTTGAATATTAGAGTTAGGTATCTTGTTTCTCAAGATCTTGTAAGATTATAAACATGACATAATGTGCTTCCATTTTTACTTGTCCCGTTCGGGGATGTGGCTGTGTAGGGGATGGTAGGGATGGTATCAGGGTGAGGGAAGGGTCTGCTTCTGAAATCACAATGTGGGAGACATCCGGCCTTGACAAAAAATTTCACAAGTTGCAATTGAACATTGGAATTGTGGAGCCAGAACTGGGTACAGAGATACCAAGAATTCCCTGTTGTTTGTTTGGGGGGTCATACCTGGCAGTGCTCTGGGGTTACGTCTGGCTCTGCTCAGAAGTTATAGCTGACCGTGCTCAGGACCCTGCGATGTTGGGGGTCAACCCCAAGCTTCCTGCATACAAAGCAGGTGCTCAGCATGTTGAGCTGGTCTTCCAGCCCAGTTGTAGTCTCTTAATTATGGTAATTTAAAAATATCAGGTCTGGGTCTGGAGAGATAGTGCAGTGGGTAAGGCCCTTGCTTTGCAAGCGCCCGGCCAGGCTTTGATCCTCAACCTCCTGTATGGTTACCCCGAGGATCTCTAGGAATAATTCCTGAGTGCAGAACCAGGAGTAACCTCTACACATCGCCCCCCATATCACTTTTGCAAAAAAAAAAAAAAGTGAAAAACTCAAAAACGAAATAGAAGCATCATGTCATCAAGGAGAAAGGATTTGGTTCTAACAACCATGACTTCTACAATCTGACTTTTGAATTTGGTTTCATTCAGTTAGCCTTTTAAAAATTATAATAATGATCACTTTATTATTATTACTACTATTACTACTAGTATTAATATTTTATCCTGGAATTGAAGGAAGTGCTCTAGCATAGAGCCATACCGCCGGCCTCTTACTGTCAGTTTATTTTTAAGGCTGCGAGGCCAGAGCCTCTTAGTAGTCCATGAGAGTGGGTAGGTGGGGGTGGATTTTGGTGCCTTTAGAGACTCGCCCCCCGTGCTTCTTTGTAAGTAGGTGTGGAGAGTTTTGCGATCTTTTCATGTAAATGAGCACACTGGATGGTAGAACCTCAAATGGAGGCGGAGGGGGAAAACCAAAGCAGGTGTCAGGGATATTTCTCTAGCGACTGTGCTGGAGCCAGGATGACAGTGCAAGAGGAACCGCAGCCGCAGCCCAGCTGATTTCTTACACCGCGGCCTGGGCTCACCACCCGCCCTCCTCGGTGCTTTCAAATGACCTCTCTGCGTCTCAGCTCGGATCCAGAGCGCCTCAGCCTACTACCACCAAGCCTGTTTGTTCTTTTTTTTTTTTTAATGGTCTTCTTTCCCCCATCTTTGGTGCGGGGCAGGCAGTGCTCAGGGCTTATTTCTGGCTCTATGCTCAGGGATCACTCCTGGCAGCGCTTGGGGGAATATATGTGGAGCCAGGGATTGAACCTGGGCCGGCTGTGTGCAAGGCAAGGGTGTAGCAATTGTAAAGCGTTTTACTTTGTAAAATCTATAACAGTGTGTTACTTTGTAAAATCTATAAAATCCTTGGAAATCTTTAATTTGCCAAGAGGGTTACATTAAAAGTTATTGGGGGTATGGAATCGCGAGATCTGTTGCAACTGGCATATTGGAATGAAAAACCACTTAATTCATTGAAATACTAGAATGAGTGAGGTTAATAGGGAAAGGAGAGTTGTGTGTGTAAATTATTACTGTGGTTTAGTTTATGTGAAGTGTCAAAGGATTTTTTTTTTAATGTGGAGAAATAATTTTAGGTCACATAATACTTTTAAATAAAAGACCTTTAGGGAGTAAGTAAACATTTGGACCTTTTGCAACTATTTATTTCATGTTAACCTCTACGTAGTCTCAAGTACCTTCTTTCAAACTTTTTGAGAGCTGTGTGGCTTACTTATTCGAATTCTTTTTGGGTTATTTATGGAGCCTATATGATGTGTGCTTAGCTTTTGTTTTGTTTTTCAAATTTTGGGCCAGATATGGCAGCACTCAGGGCTTACTCCTGGCTCTGCACTCAAGGATCACTTCTGGTGGGGCTTGGGACACTATACGAATTGCTGGGGATCGAACCCAGGGAGGCCACATGCAGGATAAGCATTAAACAACTGTGCTATTACCCTATCTCTGCCATTAGCTTTTACTGGGAAGAGGAAAGCCCCAAAACTCTTGTTTTCTGTGATGTTGGAGAATGTGTTGTATTGCCCTGTGTAATAGATGCTTTTTGAAGATCTTTGTCCATAACTCTGCATGCCATACCCTCTTGTCCTTTTTGGAGTATGTGGCTCATTCCTCTCTGAGGGAGAACTGCCAGCCTGTACAAGTTATATTTCAATTGCTTCGAGCAAAAACTGTGTTTTTAAGGGGCTAGAGAGAGAGTGTAGCAGTTAAGGTGCTTGCCTTGCATGTGGCTGACCATGTTGTGACCAGTGTCACATGTGGTCTCTCGAGCAGCTCCAGCAGTGATCCCTGAGCACTGATCCCTGAGCAGTGCTGGGTGTGGGCCCCCCCAAGCCCCAAATATATGCATCTTTCCTCTCCTGCCTCTTGCCTTCCCTTTTAAATGGTGTTTGGGGTCAGATTCTGTTGACTCTGCATATCTTTAGCAGAAAATTTGTTAAATTTTTTATAGAGCATCTTGTGTAAATATTGATGACTTCTATTGTTGGTTCCATTTATGCCTTTTTTGATCTTCTGGTTTGGAGTTTTGTCCCATTAAAATAATAAGTAGAATAATAAGTAGCAGAGAACTGCTGGTGACACCTAGTTAAGAAGGCTGTGGAATAATGAAGTTGGGTGCAAACAGCATTACAAACTAAAATGTAGAGTATTGGAAGATGACATATACCTGTTCCTTAACTATACCTTACAAAAGTAGTCTTTAAATTTTTTTAAAATTTTATTTATTTTGTTTTGGGTGCCACATCTAGCAGTATTTGGGGCTTACTTCTGGCTCTGTGCTCAGGGATCACTCCTGGCAGGGCTTGGGAGAACCATATATGATTCTGGGGATAGAATCTGGGTCAGCTGTGTGCAAGGCAAGAGCTCTACCCACGGTACTATCGCTCTAGCACTGTAGTCAGAAGTTTTTCCTTTTAAGGAACAGAAGTAGAGAGTGAAACTTTGAGTCCTTTTTTTTTTTTTAATTTTTATTAGTGAGACACCATGAGGTACAGTTGTAGACTTACAAATTTTTGTGCTTGGGTTTCAATTATACAGTGATCAAATACCCATCCCTCCACCAGTGCCCACTTCCCACCACCACGGATTCCAGTATCCTTCCCACCGAGTCCTTATTTTTAACTACTTCTGTAGATCTTCTTAAGCCTTTCACTTGAGCGTTCTTTTAATCATGAGTGTATAATTTTTCCTTTTTCAACCCTTTCTCAAACAGAGCACTGCCCAGCTTACTGACCCAGTTGACAGCTTTGCTATTGCAAGCTCTCATCCAGCTGAGTTCTCTGGTTAAAGCTAGAGAAGAGATAGGCAGGAAGTTGCTTCTGCTGCATGTAAGATATCAAATGAGTATGTTTTCCCCCTCCCTCTTCTGTCTCAGGTCATTTGGATCCAGGATTCCTAGCAAGTGACAAAACCTCCGCTGGCAACGCACCTCTCAACGAAGAGATCAATATTGCTTCTTCCGATAGTGAAGTGGAGATTGTGGGAGTTCAGGAACATGCACGGTAGGCTATTCTGATAGTTTAAAATGTGAGCTTTGTCTTAACCAGGAAGCCAGTGAGGGGAACAGGGTAGTCCCTAGGGTGACCTGTCCCCTGTGGTCGAGGGCAGTTTGCTCAGCTTGCTTTGGCTTTAAGAAAGGACTTTGGGAACCAGAGTGATAGTAGAGCGGGAAGGGCGCTTATCTTGCATGTGGCTAAACCAGGTTTGATCCCCTGAGCACCACCTGGAGTAACCCTTGAGCACTGCCATCTGTAGCTGAAAAACAACAACAACAAAAAGAACTCTTTCATGATTAGAGCTATAGACCGTGTTGTATAGTGTCTCAGATCGAGAATATCTCAACCATACATACATGTGAACCAGAACTGACATTTTTCTCTTATTTTTAGCAAATCCTCCTGTAACTTGATATATTTTTCTCTTTAATGTAAATATCATTGTACTCCCTCCTCATTCATATTTTCTTGACTTGATCTTGAAATGTATTAGAGTGAACTGTGGGGAATTATCTAAACTTAGACCTTTTTTCCTTGTTTCCTACAAAACCTATCCTTGTCTTTCATTAAAGGAAGTTGTTGGGCTCTATTCCTATATTGCTTCTGGTGATGTTTATGTGACTTAGGGAGTCCTCTCAGGAGAAAATAAAAAAGCCACAAGACACCAATTAAATGTAAAGTACTATTAAGATAATTTTATGAAGGTTTTTTTGGTTTTTTTGTTTTGTTCTGTTTTTTGTTTTGTGTTGGGGTCACACTTAGCAGTGGTTGTATCTCCACTTGGCTTAGTGGTGCTGGGAATGAAATCCAGTTCTCCTGCATGCACACTCACATACACATACACTCACACACACAGATGCACACTCACAACTCTACTCACATACATGCACACCACACATGCACACTCACACACTACACACGCACACACACACACACACACACACACACACAGAGCATGCATGCTAGCCCTTTGAATACTGACTTTTTTTAAAGCTAGGGATGAGCAAATACCAGAGAGGCTTTGGACTAAGCCCAGTCTACTACCTGTTTAGGTATGGCCCAAAAGCAGAGAAAGATTTTCATATTTTTAAAAGGCTGGGAGGAAAAAAAATATCAGAGGGAGAATAAAGTCTTATAATTAGAGTTACATGAAATTCAGATTTTTAGTGTCCATGAGTAAAGTTATCAGAACAATAAGAATAACAGGCTTGTTATTCACTATTATTGTTTTTGCACTCCTGTTGCAGAGGTGAGGAGTTTGACCCAGAGCCTTACTTATTGACCAGTCTTTGCAGAAAAAAAATTATGCTGACTCTTGTTTTAAGATATGTTCCTAAGAATGGGTTCAGCCTTCTTGGATGTATTCCCCAGGAATATAAGGCAAAAACAAAAACACACACATTTGTATGCACAGAGTTAGACTTCGGGTAATTCTTCTTCTAATAACTTCTGTACAACAAGAGCTAAATTTTGATTTTCTGTAGATTTTTGACAGTATCTCTATTACATTGTTCTTACATCTGACTTTCCTGTTTAGCAAGTAGTGGCAGTTCACCGGTGTTTCTTCTGTTGCTTATATGGAAGTTGAGCTGTGGTGCAGAGAACAAGACAAAATGCATGTAGATATAAGTTTACAGCACCTTTCTAATGAGAACTGACTATACTTTCTAAGACATTTTTCAACTAAGTAGTGAGAACAGTGTGGATAGAGTAAGTTTGTGACTTACATACTTTCTTCCCAAAGATTGCCAATTTTCCTTATCAGAAGGAAATAAATAGTTTCTTAGAACTTCATCTTCCAGTCTTGCTTATGCCACAAGTATGCCCACACACAGCTGCTTCTCTTTTCTCTCTCATTGTTTGATCTTTTCTTCATCTCATTCTCTTTTTTTCTCAAGTTCTCTTTCATTTTGAGTTTTTTTTTTTCAAGCCAACTTACTCATCAGATGAGGGAACTAGACTCCTGATTTCTTCATTGTTTTGGCATGTGTTTATTTCTCCATGGTTCCTTACACTGTACAAGTGGTTATCCTTTTCAAACCCTATATTAAAAAATTTGACTCCCTACTAGTGTAAAATCAATGGCAACATCCTGTTGCCATTGATTTTAGATCAGCTCAGTCTCTTAATTGGAGTATATTATCAACTCACCAGGTTCCATTTGAGTTACATTCAAACTTGAAATCATTGTCACTTGTGTGTTCCTGAATAAATAGGAGAGCATAGGTTTCAGGTACACTCTTAATGTGTCTAATCTCTTGCACCATACTGAGACATGTATCATTTGCTCCAGTTTTCCATTGACTTCTCCTGAGTCTCTCTTCTCTTTTTTCTTTTTTGTCTAGAAATTTTGTAGCTTCTTTTTTCAACTTTTCTTTCATCATGACACCTTTGAGTATTTAAAACAAAGAAAAAAAAACCCAGTAATTTTCAAAATTAGTTAAAATTATATTTCTGTTAGAACTTGGAAATTAAAAAGTTAAAGCTCTGCCTCACCTCCTACACACACATATAGACACAATTTGTCTCTAATATTCCTTTCTTTGGGCTTGTTAGGTCTCATGCAACTGGTCATTTTTCCCAATAGACATGTTGTTTGTGTCAACTGTTGAACTATGGCCAATGACTTCAGCTACACTTTGACTAACATGCAATATATTCCTTTCAAGAAGTTGTGTTTTATTCTGATCCTTTGGGGTTGAATCCAAGGAGTTGATGTCTCAGAGGTGATGAGTCCATTCTGAAGTCTCAGTGGTGGTTAATACTGTCCATGCCATGATATTCAGGGGCTGGAGCGATAGCACAGCGGGTGGGGCGTTTGCCTTGCACATGGCCTACTGGGTTCAATTCCTACACCCCTCTTGGAGAGCCTGGCAAGCTACCAAAAGTATCTCGCCCACACAGCACAGCCTGGCAACCTCCCCGTGACATATTCGATATGCAAATAAACAGTAACAACAGGTTTCACAATGGAGATGTTACTGGTGCCTGCTCGAGCAAATCAATGAACAACGGGAGGACAGTGCTACAGTGCTACCAATTCTCTTGGAGAACTCTGATCTGATTCCTGCATCATTTTCAGAGAATCTTTCTATCTTGGTCTGAGGATTCAGGACTGAGTAAGTCTCACATGACTTTGTTCTGTTCTTCAGGGATTGGTGGTGGGAATAATTTCAGGTTGTGTTGGAAGAACCTGACAATGATAATATATACATTGAGATCTAGAAGTTGAGAATTGAAGAAGTGGATGTGAAGCTTCCTTGTTGGTTGCTTCAGAGTAGTCTCATTTGGAATTTATCCTTTATAGGTCTAGGGTTACAGTTATGAAGTATTGATGGGCTTCTGGGCAGGGTTATCGCTTGGAAAAACGTCTTAGGTTTTGATCCACATCTTTTTGTTCTCATTTGATTTGCACACAGAGAGATGTTGTTTGGATTTAGTGGAGTTGTTTTTTTTTTTTTAATTTTTCATCTTCTACCTATTTGTGGGCTGAGTCTTTAAAAATTTACTCTGTTTGGGGCTGGAGTTCAGCGGGTAGGGCATTTGCCTTGCACATGGCTTACCCAGGTTCAATCCCCAGCATCCCATATTGTCCCCTGAGCACTGCCAGGAGTAATTCCTGAGTGCAGAGCCAGGAGTTACCCCTGAGCATCTCCAGGTGTGACCCAAAAAGCAAAAAAAAAACCAATTTTTTTTTGTTTTTTACTCTGTTCATAAGTTATTCTTTTGAGATTGCGGTTACTCAGACTTGCTTTGGTTGCCATTTTTTTTTTTCCGTATCAGAAGATTTTTTTTTAATTTGCCTCTGAACTCAGCATACTGTTTTAATTTGTAGTGTGCCTTTTATTAGTCAGTAGTTTTGTCTTTTGTGTTTTTCCCTATCTTCATATCTTTGATTGATCTTTTATTTTAGATTTTGATGTGTTTCTGATGGTTATAGAATAGAAAAGCTACTTTCTAAACTAACAGTTGAGTGCCTCTTCTAAAATTACTAGAATGTTATCATTTCAGTGTTAATTTTTTTGGACAGCCCAGTTTCAAGAGTTATTTCTTGCTAGTATTTACTAGTATATTCTTTTGTGTCTGCTTAATTTTGCCAGTTTAAATGTCTGCCCATCATGCCAATATTTTTCTCTTCCTTGGTGCTTTTTTCCTTCTCTTCTACCAGCCCCGTTGGTAATTGTCCTTAGAAGTTGATTTTTTTTTTCTCTTTTTTAAAAAAGACTTTTATTGCTTGAAGTTCTATAATGTTTTATATATGTATGTATGTATATATTTTACAGACTTACTTTCATGATAGCTTTCATTCATACAATGATCAAGTTCCCATTCCTCCACCAGTGCCCATTCTCCACCACTAATGTTCCCAGTATTCTTTTCAACGCCCCCCTGCCTTATCTCCGCTGCCCCCCCACGGCAGGCACATAACCTTTTACTCTCTCCTTTTGGGTGTTATGGTTTGCAATACAGGTAGTAAGTGGCCATCATGTTTGAGCTATAGTCTACTTTCAGCACACAACTCCCATCCCAAGCGAGCTCTCCAAGCATCATTCACTTAATGGGCCCTTCTTTATCCGAGGAAGATGAGTTTTTAGAGTGTAGATCTTTTCTTTTTCTTCTCTTTCCCCATATGTTGTTTGTTTGTTTGTTTTTAAGGGAGCTGCATGGGGACAATTCCTTTGGTATCTGTTTCCTAAAGCTTTGGCAAATGATCTTTTCACTTTGGTCTTTTGGTCCTGAGGTCTTTGGTGTTCATGTAGACTCATTCCTTAGCAGCAGTATCCACACAGGGTGACTGGCCTTCAGGACTGTTTCCTAGAACCGGTTGCCAAGATGAGCCATTAAGAAGCTTGAGGAGGAGGTGAGCATTTCCTGCAGGCCACAGGAATTTAGTTCATCTTCAACTCGGAAAATAAGCAGGAATGTTATCTAAGAGGTCAACTTCAGACTCTGTAAATGAGAGCAAAAAATAATGAATCTTTAATGTTGTTTTTTTAGTACATCAG